ACTCCCTCCATTTTCATTATGTCGGGTTGCTATATCAACTCCCAGGTTCCCATTAGATGAAATATTAGGCCACACTTCGCTGGAGGAATTTGAAAACGGAGGTTTCACTTAAAAACCGCATCAAATGTTTTCCGTCCACACTAGGCCGGAGAAATTTAAGACCGCAACAATCACCGGTCATTTTGGCTTTGTGTTTGAGGAAACCTCGGGCAGAGAAATCACTAACCCTAAAACGCAAAGCCGGCGTTTTCAAATTCGTCCGATTTGATGAGTGTCTTCGAAAAGCTCCGTTTTTGTGACGGATTAGTGTGGACGGAGAAATATTGCTGCATTTTCAAATTTCTCCAACGTAGTGTGGACAAGGCCTTATTAAAACATCTCTCTGCGTTCCCTTTGTGATGGTTACTTTGCCGAGAAGTCAGTTGTCTTCAAACTACAGAAACTTTGTCAACTTTTTTTGATGTTGTCAATAATAAACGTACTGTTTATCATTTTGCAGGAGCAAATATTAGATCTTCATCATGATCACTTGTTACCCTCTCAAAGCGGAAGACGGTCAGGTTAGAAAGAAAACACCTTGTTCACTTTTGAAAGTCAGGCTGGTATCAGTTGAGAATCTCCATTGTCAAACTCGAACTTCGAAATCTTCAAAGTCTTTTTCTTTGCACTGTTCCCAAACAATAGCTGGTGAAGACTTTGCTGATAAATTTAGGGATGTCGAGATTCTGTGAAGCGTACGGTGGGGTTTTCAGGCGGTTTTCGATACATCTGTGTGAAGTTTCTAGCAGAAGTTAACTTGGGATACAGAAATGGAAACCGAAGAATTCACTACAGGTTTTTCGCCTGAAATGATTTCAACGAAGCATCAAAGTCCGGTGGCTATACATGTATGTGGGTTGACTTTGTTGTTGGTTCTCGCCTTGCTCAGTCAATGGTTTGTCTCCGGGTTCTCCGATGTTCCTCCCTCTACAAAAACTAACATCTCATACGAAAACTATTCGTCTTGATTGCATGTTCTTGTTGTATTGCAGATGGCGAAGTGTCCCAGCGTTTTGCTCTGGTGAACAGGTTTCCATCTTCGAAGTGGGAAGATGCGAGGCGTTTTCTGTTAGGATCTTGACGTCAAATCAGTTCTCTTTGCGAGAAATAATTATTTTATCTATGGTGTTTCTAAATTTTACCAAATAAATTGTACAAAACTTTAAAAACTTTCCGATATATGATGTGAGAGACGCGGTAGATAAATGCATTCTTTGTGTTTTATTTATAAATTTCTGGGCCCATTATTTAATTGCGTGTTTTTGGCCATTGATATTTTTGCTAAGATTCCCAAAAGTAACTTTAGTTGTGTATTTTTTTTTATAAGAAAAAGAACATTTCGGGAAATGTACTCTCAATTTCAACGTCCATCTCTGATTGCATTGTTCCATAGTGGTGTTGTTTCAATATTGTGAGACAGAAGGACATTCGAAGAGAATAGTTCTGGATCTCATGACTAAAATAACGAGTATTAGTTGTTGCTGAGACAATGGCAAAACATCTTTCGAGCTTTTCTCTCATGAGTATACAAGAACTATTTGTTGATGTAATTATGTAAAGTTATATCAGGTAATAAAGAAAATAAGCCCAGTTTTGTTTTTTGTGTTCATAGCTGAAACTTCCATAATTATTTCACATAACATAATATCTTAGAACGGTTTTGAATTGAGTGTCGTAAAACCCAAACCCAACTGTAGTAAAACCAAAACCAAAGTAATTTCCGTACTACTTTTGACATTCAATTGAAGGGTTGCATGGAGAAAGACCTTAAGTGGCATCTGAGAGAATAAAATTGCTTTCCACTTCCTTCTATGAAAGAGAGGAGAATTTGACATGAGATCAAGAGTCACCTGGGGATTTTGTCCACACACCCCTTCAATAGACGACTTGTGATATATTTCAATTCAGCTTGGCAGTGAGGCGTAGAGGACACAAACAAAAGAAATTAAATGACCATGTTTATTCAATTTCTTTTGTTTTTATCCTCTATGCCTCACTATCAAGCTGAATTTTAATATATCGAAAGTGGCTTATTGAAAGTTGCTCTATTATAGTTGACCAATCAGCAATCTGGAGAGAGTGTAGCATTTTTGAAAGAGAGGGAGTTAAATCTTCTGCCCAGAGCTGCACTGGTACAGAAAGTAATAGATCTGAAACCAAGGGACATTCAATCACTACTTCTGATCCTGATACCACAGGTTGTGATACCAGATTCTAGGGTTGTGATCCCTAATCCCTGCCCTACATGTCTGTAGGCCTTTGATCCCTCATCCCATCTTCGTTATTACAACCTACATGTAGACTGTTCACAGCCCTTTTTTTTCCCATAGTTTTACATTGAACACATGGATAGAATCGCGAGAGAACTGGACACCAGCGCAAAACGGAAGACTTGACTGGGTAGGGGGTGGGGATCAAGATAAAAATATGAATTCTTGCTCGTTTTGCTCACAAACCCCTCCCCCACCCCCGCTTGCCTTGCGCTCGCTTCACTAACTTCTTTCGCATGGGTAAATAGAGAGGCTCTAATTACAACCCTGACACTGACACTGCATCGCTGAGTTGCCGGATGGTGGAACACAATCATATCAAACAAGAAAACCAATACTTTCATGATCAAGAAACCAAAGCCAACTTTATCGTTGTTACAAACCTAGCCTGGGTAGCAAGCATTCCTGTACAAAGAGCTTTTCCACATTCTGACCGCGCATAAATTGGAGTGAGAGCAAAAATTTGACAAAGCAGGGGGTGGTGGGGCAAGAGAGGGTCCCATTTCAGTTTTTAGCTGAATTTAGGTGTATTATTTTGCTGTAAACAGCAACCTCATTCCCAGTGTCTCTCCACTTGCAACCCCCAAGAGCAAAAGATGGGCAGAGAGAAGAGAGACTGGTGCCCACTTCCCTGCACCTCCTGCATTATTGCACATAAGGAAATAGCCCAAAGAAAATACACCACTGATTGGTTAAAAATCATGTTTCCATAACTCAATAGGACACAAGTAGATTTATAATAAAACTCGATAGAAACATGGTACAATACATGTTTTCTCTTTCTTAACTATAACAACAGGAGGTCAGTTGTTCAAACTGAAGGTGAAACAAGACTAACAAGTAAAGAAGTTGAGAACTTTTTGTTTTACTTAATACATGTACAGCATCCAAGTTTAAAAAAAAAACATCTAAACAGCAATAATTTAATACGTGTAGTAATATTAATAGTCACACAAAAAGGTAAGCTTCTGACCACACACTCTGACATAAGATTAAATAAATCAACCTTTTTGATTGTATGAGAATGTCTTTCACATTCAACTCACACTTATCTTTTTAACACTCACTGTAATGAGATAAAATGTTACCTAGACTGCACTATAATCAAAATCCTATTCTTCTAGGACAGTGTTTTCCAGAATTGCCTTTGCATTCTTGTGTTCTTCTGTTTCACATAACTCCTCTGTATCTGCCTAAAGTCAAAACAAGGTAATAAAACTTGCATCAATAACTATTAACAGTATAATTCTCCTTACTATGAATAGGGTTACAGGGAAGCCCATGAAATCCGTGAAATGCATGCTTACTTCTCAGCTAATATCGTCTTGATAGCTTCATGAAGATAAGAGTGTACATTTATTTTGGCACAATTAGTGAGGTGCACGTAATGGTCACATGCGTAGATGCCAAGGCGCAAGAACGTGTGGGCCAATTACATTGGTATTGAAGGATGCAATGAAGATGTCATTTTAATGTTGTTGCCATGTGACTCGACTCACCCAGAATACTTTCGTGATCTCTGTTTTTGAAGTCGACATTACTATACACGCCTTCTCCCACTCAAATTAGCGCATTGTTTACAGCTGTGGGGTGTTTATAATTCAAGTAAATCTGATATTTTTTGTGTTAGTCTAGAGAAAATTGAAGACACCTCTATTTTGTCCTTTGTCATTCTGACCAGAATGGCTGCCAAGCAGTAGAGTTTTTTAAAACTCTAGGTTTTTAAAATAAACCCTGGTCACAGATTTTGGGAAGGGATTGAGAAAAGCCCTTTATTTTTTGAGAACACGATCGTGCTTCCTCTCCATTACTTTAGTTTAGATAAAAATATGTTATCCCTATTAATTTAGAGAAGAACATCACTTACTACAAGTTTTTTCAAATCATCATAAGCAGTCTTGAGGCGTCTTTTACAGTCTGGAATCATGATTCTGGACTCTTCAAGGACTTCTTTCTGACATGGAAACCAGAAGTAAAGGTAAAAAAGGTAAAGTCTGCATGCGAGCCAAGTGGCCCATCAGGCCGGAGCTTATCCCGGTTTCTGTAGCATGAAGCGACCAGGAGTATTTCTACTCCCCCCTGGATGGGATGCTAGTCCATCGCAGGGTTACCCCCAGCATTAAATTCGCCGGTACCCATTTATACGCCTGGGTGGAAAGAGGCACTGTGAGANGTAAAGTGTCTTGCCCAAGAACACAACACAATGTCCCCGGCCAGGACTCGAACCCGGACCGCACGTTCCGGAGATGAGCGCACTAACCATGAGGCCACCGCAAAACCAGAAGTACCACTGGATTAATGATTTTATTCAGCTTAAATACATAGATCAGCCAAGGTCACCACAGACATCACTTTTCAAAATACCCAGACTTTTCCCTGATAAAATAAAATTTCCCTGACCAAGGAAATGCAAAATGTCAGGTGTAGCAGCAGCTTCTTCCACTCATTCATCAAGACTGATCATTTTCAACAAATTTTTCTCCATTGTGTAGTTCCAGAGAATATCCATACCTCTCCCACGGAAAGGATTTTTTTCAAGACCCCCCACCCCTCTGGAAATTCCAATTAAACTTGATACATTTCTTTAAATTTTTTGGTCTTAGAGAACCCCCACCCCCCAGGAAATTCCAATCCCTTCTGTGGGGGGAGTGCAGATATTTTCTGGTTCTTCACATTAAGGAAAAATATCATTGAGAACACAGTGACTTCAAATAATAATTCTTTCAGCCTTCATTTGTATTAAATCAGCCATGTTAAATTATTTAAATTTTCCCTGACTTCTTCGAAATATTAATATTCCCTGACTCAAAGTAAGATTCACTGACTTTTGCAGTCAGACTGAGAACTGAAAAATATTCTTCAAGGACTGAGTCCTTGAAGAATAATTTTTTCCTTTCCCTGACCATTTCCTGACCTATGGCAACCCTGTCACCATCTACCAGAAGAAAAGAATTCTGACTTTTAGTAACAATTCATTCACTCAATTAACCTGTTTCTTTATGTCATATTCATCCTTTTCCTCTGCCTTCATCTTTTCAACTTTTGCTGCTTGGTCTACAGCCTCTTTTTCGTACATCTCCTTCTCCTTTGCAAGCCTTCAAAAGACTTCATAAATCAGTACTGGATATTTAAAATGCCTGCTGTGTAGCTAATTTCTTTGCACCATTAGCCATAGGGAAGCAGGGATGGTGCATTGGTGAGAGCGCTCGCCTCCCACCAATATGGTCCGGCTTCAATTACAGCCTGGTGTCATATGTGGGTTGGGCTTGCTGTTGGTTCTCACCTTGCTCCAAGAGTTTTTATCTGGGTTCTCCAGTTTTCCTCCCTCCATGAAAACCAACACTCCAAATTCCAATTTGACCAGTATAAAGGACCCGCACAAAAACCAACTAAGACTTATGTGGCTTCATCTCTAAATATTGTTATTTATTTCTCTATTGGCCAAGGGACAATTTTCATTCAATCAAAATACATCACTTTGTTCTCCACTTGCTGTTCTTCCTACTGCTCCATAACCAATGCCTAGAGCAGGCTTATGTTTATGCAAAGGGTTTGTGGTTGGTCTATAAAAGATTGCTATTAAAAATAGTATTGCACAGTGATAAGCATGGGTTATTGACCAAGCACGAGGTGAAGGTGCCTGGATATTGACTAAGTTCTTGTTTTGCATGTCATTGACTGAGAGGTAGTCAAGATCCATAAACATACAAAATATGAACAACACAGATAACCAGTAGCCAATCACAGCACAGGATTTGGTCCATCTTGTCCACTCATGGAGCCACTAGTCAATTACCTGTACATAAGTTTCATCAATATGGGTTATTGACCAAGGGTGGGGTCAAGATGGCTTGATATTGGCCAAGTTCCCTTTTGCATGTTTATGGACTAAGATGGAGTCAAGGTGGACCCATAAACATGCAAATAAAGAACATCTTGCCTGCTCTCAGGGCCAGGCATATTATAAACACCATTAGTATAAATCTACTAGCATTCTATCTCACATACCATTCTCTGATTAGCTACGCTTCTCACTATCTATCCTGTTACAGATGGTGAGAAGCCTAGTAGTGTGCGGGTGTTAGTAAAATGACAGCCACTTCATTGCATTTTCAAAGTGTCTGTGAAGAGGATTTTTGAAGTTTTGAACGACTAAAAGATTTATTCTAAAAACAATTAGATTGTTCACTCTTGATTTCTAGCTATGTGTGATAACTGACTTGGGTTATGCTTTCTTCAACTATCACATGATAGAAATCTCAAGCTCATAACCTAATTGTTGAATAAAGTTAAATGAAATTTAACATAGTTAACGACTAGGAGCTAGTCTAGTCAGTAGCGTTTTTGTGGGTGGTTGTTAGTGTCTTGGCCATCTGTTAGCGTTTGTTTAGCATTTCGTGCGTTCTGTAGCGTTTGATATAGTTCAATGAAATTTTACACAGTTTATGACCAGGAGCTAGTCTGGTCAGTAGTGTTTTTTGTAGGCATTTGTTAGTGTCTTGGCCATCTGTTAGCATTTGTTAAGCGTTTGGTGCGTTCCGTAGCATTTGCAGCAGTCATATAGTCGTGGGAGCCCTGGGGCTGACATTGTCCAGTGGTATTCTTGGTTAGTACGTGAATTGTCGTCCCATGTGCTTGCAGTGTGTTCGTTGCTCTGTGAGCGTGGCGTTGTGGGTTGAATAGGCCCTTTGCAGCTGGGGTCACATGACTAATTTTTCCCTAGAAAATTTTTATATTATAGGCTATAATTTAAAGAATGCCAGAAATGGAACGAGCGCATCGAAAATACCAAAATGGCCCAGTTTGAGGCCCCTGGCATTAAAGAGTAAGTTCATACAACTGTTTGAATTTTCGGAAAATTTAGCGGATTTGTATGGAAGATGATGCTGGAGAGCAAGGCCTTGCTCTCCAACAACTTTTTCCATACAAATCTTCTTATTTTTTCAAAAATTCAGACTGTCATAAAATCTCATTCTGATGGGGGCCTCAAACTTGGCCATTTTGATATTTTGGACATGCTTTTTCAATTTCTGGCATTTGTTACGTTATAGCCCATAATTTTATGAAAAGTAGGTCATGTGATGGCTTAGCTGCAAAGGACTTATTAAAGTCGTTTAGCGGTTCTCGGCGTTCCCTCCCTATCCCTTCCCCCTCTTTTCGGCAGTTTTTTTTCTTTTTCCTTTCCACTGAGCCATCTGGCTTGAGTGTGACAGGTGCCTGTAGGGGGCCTGGCACGGGGGGGCTCATGGCTTGGTTGCGGGTTGGGCAGGCCAGTCAGGTGTTCTAGCGCCTTGGGGATGTGACTGCAGTTGCAGCTCCTGGGTTTCGTAGGCACCTTCCCCCCACTAGCGACTTTATTTTATTTATTTATTTATTTGGGCGTTAATTAGTTTCAAATACAAAATAAAGAAGACTGTGAGTAACAAAGGATTTTGGGGGTATGGAGATACATGTTATTGTAGCCAAGAAAAAATATAGTAACCACTATTCTGGAGTAGATATCGTGTTCTAGCAAACTTTGGGCTAAAGTTACTTTGGGAGAAAACTGGCAAAGATCAATATAAGCTTACTCAAGACATTATGCATACACAAAGTAATTAGCTGTCAGTGAAGAAAGAAACACAAAACAGCTTAAAAACGTGGGCTTACCTCTTCACCACTCCAGTCTTGATTTTAAGTTGTCGCTTTGGATCCGATGCAGAAGCCATCCTTATTGCCAAAAGAATAAATCTCCAGCTGTTTTTCCGTAACCCTACTTCGATCTTTTCTTCAAGTCCAATGAGCGTCAAAACAACTCAAACTGAAATTGTCGGTTGCAGACTGGGGACGGCTATTTATTGCGCATTCTTTCAATGGATCTACCGCTGTGCAAAAGTCAGTTTTTTTGCCCTGTTCCAGGACTCCTCGATTTGTAATGCAAATCAAAAGAAGACAGCTACGTGTAACAACAGCATGCGGAAGTGTGAGTGTTTTGCGAAGACTGTTTTGTTATTAAAACTTGAATGTCACGTAGAACACTCAAATAGAAGACTTCGAGGGTTAATTCCCTTCCGTGAGTGAAGAAAGAGAGAGGAACAAGCCAGATCGGAACTTCCAAATTTTGTCTATGTAAAACTCCGAAGGTGAGCTTCCATCGAATTTGGCAAATATTTACATTCATAAGCTTAAAAGTTTTAAAACAATGCTAATTAACGCGACGTTTTGTTATCAGGGATATTGGACGAGCAACTTCCGTATCTAAAATATTACGATAAAAGAGCCTTGCTTTGTATCGAACATGTAACCTTTTCTAAAAAGCAAAATACAGGTACAATTATAACAATTAGACCTGCGATTAACTGCCAGTCCCTTCAAAATATCGTATTTTTGCCGATAATTTCTTGTTTCAAGCTGTTCGTTTAGAGATCAAACTATACTGTATCTTAGATAAATTGCCTATAAAAGGTTTTTTCGTTTTTTCAGGAAATGTAATAGAACAATTGCGATTTCTGATGGTAATATGCAAAGTTAAAAGCTTTTTATCGACGAGCAGTGGAAATTTGTGATACGGCTTTTCTCAGAGCGAGATAAAACAAAGTTAACAATTTTTACAAAGAGGCATTACAAGTACTGTGAAGTACAGTGACTATCACCTGGCCTAGTTTGTAACTCTCCCATCCCATGTGGCCGGCTGGAAAAAGTTTCTGGGCAGGTGGAGTTATTTTGTTCAAGTTTGTTTGTTTTTTTCCGTCATCCTCTCACTGTTTTACAAGAGTGACATTCTCTGCAATTAATTACTACCATACATTCAGAGCTATTGTTTTGACCTTTTCGGTTTTCATTTCTTCTTGCAAAAAAAGGGAATACGGAAAATCAAGAATGGCATTCAATAAAGAGACTGTACAATTTACAGCATAATTCTTTTTTTTTTTTTTTTTTTTTNGTTGCCCGGGTTCCGAATTTCCTCCCTCCGTATAAACGAACACTCCAAATTTCAATTCGACCAGGATAAAGGGCCTGCATGAAAACCAGCTAAGTCTGTTGTGGCTTCCTTTTCTAAATATTCTATTTTTCTTTTTTTTTTTTTTTTTTTTACATTCATTGTAGGTCTCTTTGATTATCTGCTCCCAGTATAGCATTATTTACATATTCTTTAAAAGTTTAAATACTTAATTACAAATACATTAATTTTCTTAATGTAGCACATGGCTTGGAAAACCATTACATGTATTATCAATCCGTGTTTTATGTTTGCATTCCAACTGGAACTTATGGTATCCCAGCTGTGGTTATTAGATCTTTTGTGTGATCACAGCTTTCTGAACTTCAAACAATGTCCTCATTAAAAGCCAAATGAATGTGTTTTAAATTCATTCCTTGGATTTTGTTAAAGACAATATAATCCTAAAAGAAACTCTCATTTGCCATTTCAAAGCTTGGATTACAGGGAACTTAAGAGGTAATCAGTAAGATAGAGAGTCATTGACAAAATATTTTGTTCTACATAGGAATCACAGCATCATGAACTTCTCATGGACTATTGAGATTTTTGCTCTTGTTGAGTTTCTTTGTCTTGCAAACTTTATGTTGTGTCATGAGCATTCTTCAACTCATCCAGAGTCTCATTCATGCGGCAATCAGTACAGCGAAGCCTGTAATGTGGACAAGGTATATCTCACAGATAAAGAGATGTTTCAACGTGGGCATATGAAGCCATTTGGATCACATCGCCCTCCTGATTACATTGTGGAAGAGCTTCAATATATGATCTCTCCACAGGACTTCTATATGAATTATGTTGTGAAACACAAGCCAGTTGTTTTTAAAGGTATGCTTAGATTTTTGTTGCTCTTTGTGGTTTAAAATTCGTCTTAAAAAAAATTAAACTACAGTACACTTATTTCACATGGTAGGCGCGGTGGCCCCATGGTTAGTGCGCTCATCTCCAGAGCGAAAAGTCTGGGTTCATGCCCTGGCTGGGGACATTGTGCTATGTTCTTGGACAACTGTTACACTTTTTAACTCTCACAGTGCTTCTCTTCACCCAGGTGTATAAATGGGTACCAGCAAATTTAATGCTGGGGTAACCTTGCAATTGGCTAGCATCCCATCCAAGGGGGAGTAGAAATACTCCTAGCTGCTTCATGCGACAGAAGCCGGGATAAGCTCCGGCCTGATGGGCCACTTAGCTTGGCGCATATGCTAATATATACTTATTTTATAATTTTTTGGTCATGGTTCGTGTAAATCAAGTCACTTGTTTCTAAGAATAAATTATTTTAAACTGTAATAATTATTTACTTATTTTTTGTTGACTTTCTAGAATCAATGCAGTTATTTATTTGCAGTTTTCTTTTTGATTTATTATAAAATGATCCTATGTACTGTTTGACACAAAGGTGCAGTAAAATACTGGCCGGCATACACAAAGTGGACTGATGAATACCTGAATGCAACTTATGGCAGAGAAAGGTTTCGCATGGAGACTAAAGATGATGACAAATGGAACATCCCAGCTGACATGAGACTGGACGAATTTCTCAGTCAGTACAATCACTCAAATCGTTATCTGGTAGATGAAGTTTTACCAGACATGCGGAAAGACGTTGTCCTCCCTTTATGTTTACGCTGTGAAGAAATGAGCTCCTTCTTTTTTGTTTCATACTTCTGGATGAGTACAGGGGGGACATCATCGTCCATTCACATTGACACAGACGAAAACCTCCTGTGTGTCATTCATGGGCACAAAGCTGTTCTTATGGTATCGCCGGTGTATTCAAAATATCTTTATTCTGATGAAGCACGAGTGTTGGGTGTCTCAGATATCAACCCTCAAGCTGTCAACCTGAAGAAATATCCTAATGTTATGAAAGTCAGATATCACTCTGCAATGGTGGAAGAAGGCGATATTGTTTATATTCCACAGATGTGGTGGCATCAAGTTGTATCAAGGTATTTAACAGAGTGGTGATAGTTGGTTGGTCAAAATTATTTCATAAGCCTGATGAATGAATAATTGTATGTCTTCGTTTGTATAATTTATAATTCTAACTTATCCTCATTCAGACCTGAACGTCAACAGGCAGTGGCCATGTGGTGGAAATCTAAGCCAGTTTTCAAAAAGTTTGGGCGAGTTGCATCTCCTCAACAGCTTAAAGATCTTAACAATGGTAAGCTGAGAAAAAGGGCATGCTACAGCTGCTCCTTGCCATTATTTAGATTTGTTTTGGGGTTAAAATTCTTCACAGAAAATAATAATTTTCAGCAGATGGAAACTAGCAATCAATCTGGTTTCAAAACCCTTCAAACAGACATCACATAATTATGATGCTCGATAATCAGCACTTTCTTCCTGATTGGCAGATACATGTATGGTGGCCTAATAGTTAGTGCACTGCATATCAAGCAGTCCAGGTTTGCCAACACCATTATGTTGCATTTGTGGACAAGATCAACACTTACTTTCTCAGTGTCTCTCCAACCAGGTGTTTTTAAACACCTGGTTGACAAATGGTTAAAAAATGGGTAGCAGCAAATTTATTGTTGTTGGTAACCCTCCAATTGAGTAGCATTCAATCCAGAGAGGAGTACTTGAGATAATCCTAGTTGTTTAGTGCTGCTGAACAGAAACTGGGAATATCCCTGGCTGTATGGACCTCTTGGCCTGATGCAGACTTAACTTTACTTTATACCTCTGTCAACTTCTTCCTGGAAGAGTAACTGGTTATCACTACTTTCTTTGCAGGAAAGTATTCATTTGGGAACATTCTAGCTCAGTATGAGTTATGGGTGCAGAATGTGAGTGATACAACTCCCAGGATTGAGTGCAAGGCGCAGCAGATGTTCATGAGTGATTATCAGTTTGAAACAGACAAAATAGCAAATGCACCCAGAACACAAGGTGACGGAGGATACTTAGAGGAGGTATGATTCATGCACTGTATATTGCACATTTCAATCATATTTTTGATTCCATTCAAAGTATGTTAAATCATAGCTAGTTAGGCATTTTCAAGCATTTCTTTGTTTTTCTATTGTCAATAAATTCATTCTCGTCCCCAGAGCCCACGATCCTTCTGGCCTGTGGCAGGGATCGAGAGCTCTGGGCTGGTCGAACACTGGAAGTCCGCGATTCACGGACTTCCCGTCAAATCTGGCAAATCTGATTGGCTGAGAATACAAAACGAATACTCTGCGCATGCTCAGAAAATCGGGTCCGGCCAGAGCTCGCGATCCCTGCCGCAGGCCAGAAGGATCGTGGGCTCTGGGGACGAGAATGCCTTCAATTGTATGCGCACGCGCTTATGTGCGCGCACACATAACGCGAAAATTGTGCGCAGTAGGTATGCACAATGCAATACTAAGGAATCACCTTAAATAATGATGTAAAAGCTCTGCCTGAGCTGGGTTTAGTTTGTGAGTAATAGAACTTAACCCTTTTTTCTCAATCTTCTCCGGACAGGAATTGGGAATGAAACCCAGAGACCTGAGAGAGCCAGGAAACGAAGACTTGATACCATGTGACTTTGACTACACAAATAAGAAAAGCCCGTGTCATTTCAGTGAGTGCTGGGAAGATGACAACACCAACAAGTGTATCCGATACATCTTGGACTACTGCCTTAATTATGACGACCGAGGATGTGTCGACCAGTTGCCACAACTGATGAACAAGCTTGGTTCAGCCCAGTACAAGGAAATCCAACAAATGCCATCGGATTTTTGAATAGCATTCATGTAACATGTTCAAATAAATTGCATTTAGTTCATTCTTTTGATACATGACATAATAAATTTATTATCATCTATATATTGCATCCTTCTTCTTCATGCCCTCTGGACATCCTCCTACATCGGGAGACAGCATTAAGCAATGACGAGTGACGTCATCGCTTAAAAATGGGAAACAGAATATTCCCCTCTCATTACAAAATAATTATAGTAACACTTAAACTTCAGCTGGTTTGGGCTGTGTACAACATCCAAAAGAGATGATACCTCTGTTCCAAGGGTGTTAAAGCAACCAAACCCAAATCACCAGGCCCCAGTTGTTTGGATAATGCTATCTAGTGGAAAAATGTTAACAAAACAAACCACTCTAGTGATTTATCCAGTGCATAGCGTTATCCCCTTTCGAACAACCTGGGCCATGTCTCTTATTAGTGGATAGTTCAATCATCTGAGACATCAGTGGGAAGAAACATCGTGTGATGACCGATCATGTATTGGCTGCAAAGGAGACAGTGTCTAGACCACAATGTAAAGTTCTCTTGCAAGAAAGTGAATTTTGATGGGTATAATCAATACTGTGAAAAAAAACCTTGACAATTTCTGTTGGCTGAAATAACAGAAACCTGGCAGACTATGTTTTTTTCCTCACTACTTGGACAAGATCACTCAATTTTCATTACTGCAGCACGAGCGTTCAGTCAAGCACAATCTGTTTCACGAACACCTTACTCTTGATGAATTAAAAGTTTTTCTTTATTATTGAATCTGTTTGGTAACTGAGTGAACTTTTCTATGACTGCAGTAAACCGAAACAAAATAAACACACGAGGTAATGATTGACTGCAAGTTTAACCATTATATTATGAATACCTGTTTTAAACTTATGAATGGTTAAACATGTATGCCTTGATTCAGAAGACCTACATCCAGTCTTTGTATGGAATGCAAGTACCATTACTGTTTCATTTTTTTGTCTTATGTACATCACTGAGGAAGCTCAATTTCTAGCCTTGAAACTGAAACATGTTTCAATTTTTATCCAATGACCTGAAGCTATTGATGATGTCTAGTTTCAATAATTTTAAACTAGGCTGAGTGTAAGTAGCAAAAACAAATGCCAATCTTGAGCAATGTTCTCAATAAAGAACATTAAAAAAAAAAGCTGAACTATAGTTTGGATACACCTTTGAAGTATGTTTTATAAACCTGTATAATTATTATCAAACTCGAACTTCTATTATTTTTAATCCTTCATAGAAAGAACTTAATAAAAGTTGACTTCATAATATTACATCTATAAACTTCACTGCAATAGTTATTAACAGTTGCTTGTACTTAGATCTGATTAACAATCCACACAACAACAAAGTCAGTTCTGCACATAAATTATGAGGAGCTTCATATCCTTCTGTTGTTGTCTGATGGAAAAATCATTCCTAAACTGCAATAAAGGAGTTATGTAACTGTTTATCAAGCCCTTTTTTGACGAAGAACAACTTTGAAATTGCAAAAACCTGTATTACTGGTTAACCAAAATCAAAACCAAAGGGAAACACAGAGGTAATACACATGCACAATGCAACCTAAAGAGAGAAAGGTTATACCAAGGGTTTCATTAAGGGTCAGGCACCAGGCAAACTGACCAGCTGATAGGATGATTTCGCCTGCCTGGTTTAACCATTTAGAGGAAAGTTTTTCTTAAAAAGAAGTTCTGCTCAAAAAAAAGTTTAGCTCACCTATGAAAACAAGTTGGCCACCTACTGAAAACGTTAATGAAACCCTTGGGTTGTACAATTTTGACTATCTCTGCAGACTTCTTTTAGAATTATAAATAAGCATCAGCCATAACAATACAATGCATTACACGATACGTTGTTTAATCACTCTCTGAACCTTAAGAAAACATGGCGTGTAATGATTTCCGCTTTATCACCAAACAAGTTATGTTGTAGATGAGTACCAGTGCATGGACATGATACACTTTCTGTACGCAGCCTTTCCTTTTACACACATATTATTAATTTCCTAACTTTCTGTGTATCATCTGGCATGTTCTTCACTTCCTGTTGTCCCCAGTCATGGCACTACGAACTCCAGCGGCTGCCGCTTCAGTGGCTGCACTCTGCACGTGTGGATTTGATGCCACACCCCTTGCAAACTCGCCTTGTGCCTTCTGGAAGCTTGCTCCGGCCAAGCGGTATATCCAGTGTACCTAAAGAAGTTGTAAAAGATACAAGTTAGATAACTATGCTGTACCTCTATAAAACTGACAACCAAATGCTTGAACAAAACACAAATTTCTGAATTAAAAAGGTAACTAATTAACAATGACAAACTAATTACAACTGCATGTAGCAAATACGAGAGTAACTTGATTAAAAAAAATAATTCTTTATGAAATCTAGCACTTAGCAAATCTTTGAGGCTCAGCCTCTAAGAACACTCTGAACCTTTCTTTTCTAGTTCAAACTTCATGTGCAGCTAACATCGGGTTTCAAAAGCTACCACCTCTCCATAAACAAGCCCTTCTGGTTGAATTTCAAGAATTACTCTCTCAAGATGACTTAAAAATGTTCAAGGGATATCAGAGGAGAGACATGCACAGTACTTACCCTGACAAGAAGAAAACAATCTACAATAACACCAGCTAAGAACAATCCTCCTGACACAAACATCATGGCACCCACTGGGACACTGTTATGAACTGCTTCAGTAGCATTGATAAAGCCACTAAAACATGACAACAAAATCTTTAATTAGAAATGAATTAGCGACTGGACGACTGACTGACCGACCAAGACTGACTAACTGATTTATTAATTCTATTTATTTATGATTGGATTGATCAATCGATTGAATGATTGATTATGCATTCTGTTTCAACAATCCCTTATACAGATGTATGAAATTATGAAAATTAAATGGAACTTTATATTGTATTTTTGAGATTCATATAATTAATAGCTGTCTAACGAAAATAAAATTCATTTGATTGTTCTTGATTCTAAAAAAATATATTGTCCAGCTGGCATTACAGTATATCTCTTTTAACTGTAAATATTTCTAAATTTCTGCATGTACATACCGTTATGTTTAGTTTTTGTGTCTCTGAAACTTTCACCTCTCATCTTTCAAATTAACAGTTGCTTTCTGTTTTTCTGAGATACTTTTGAGGTTAAAATTGATTTTAAAGTCTATGTTAGGTGGGGAACAAGTGAATATATGTCAGCAGCCACTAACTGAACAACTTACCAGGCTCCTCCACCAGGGATACCCAGACAGTAAAAGATATTAATTCCTATGTGAAGAAAGTAGATGAGGAAGAATATGACGTAGCTAAAGGAGCTGTCATTCCTGAAAAATACAACAATGCTATGTGAGCTTTTTCAGCCTTAAGGTACATGTACCTGGTTACAGACAGACTAGTCATGGAGTCTGATCAAACAAGAACAGCAGCGGATGAGAATCTATGGTGTCCAGAGAGTTCAAACACTAATTTGGCCACCAACTCTTGCACACACTGGTCAAATTTGCATCGATCTGTTTGAATTTTCAGTCAATAAGACTTTTCGCTGATAGGTTTGACATGTAGTCAATGTCAAATCTTGAATTATCACAGCTCACTGCTGTAACTGACTCCACACACTGTATAAAATGTTGTAAATATGGGTTATTGACCAAGCATGAGGTAAAGATGGCTAGATATTGGCCAAGTTCTTCTTTTTTGTGTTTATGGACCAAGATGGAGTAGAGGTAAATATCCAGTCATCTTGACCGAACAAGCTTGGTCAATAAAGGATTTATTATATGGCTTTTGGGGAAATATTTCCTGTGGGACACAGTGGTTAGTCCTGAACGAGCAAGATAGCGCCATCTTGCCTGCTCAGGTAGCCAATCACAGTGCAGAATTTGGTTCATCTAGTCTGCTCTGGTTTGACAGGTGGCCAATGTCAGATCTTGCAGAATCTCAGCCCACTGCTTATTCCATGACCCATATTGACTCCACACACTGTATACAGCCAAGATATAGGACACTATAAGTGGCCTCTGTCACTGATTGAATGAAATATAAAATAATAGCTGTTATTAGAAAATAGCCCAAAGAAAACATATCCTCTGTGTTTCTATCGAGTTACATAAACACTTGTGGAAGTTTGGGAGAACTCAAAAAAGCTATAGAAACACTCCCCTGTGGGCTTGTTGGTTTCCCAGAGCATTTCTCATTCTCCCAAACTTTCACTTGTGTTTCCATAACTCGACAGAAACACGGTTCATGTTTTCTCTGTCTCAAATAGTAAACACGTTGACAGAGAAACATGTACCCAGTAAATACCATCTGCTAACCCAGCATCTTAATTTTCTGAAGTACATGCTCTACTGCAATTTTCCACTTACTTGAATGCACGATAACATGGCCTGTACCAGCCAACGAAAGACAAGGGAATATTAGCGAATAAGTATAACCCTGACAAACCAAATGTAGAACCATCGTTCACTGTGCTAGCACCAGATCCTTTACTCAGAAGTGCCAATGCAGTAATGAAGTTAAAGAACAGAACAAAACAGTACACTGCAATGAAAACCAGATGTAATGGAAAGCTAAGGCTGTCTAAGAGTTAAATAAGGAAGTTTAAGTCAGCAGTAGATGGCTTGAATAAGTTAAATCAAAGAAAATGGAAATTTAAAAAAAAAATCCTTAAAGCACTCCATTCTAGTCAGTCTACTTCACACTTTGTGATGTCACAAGGCAGAATGACACTTCTTCGCTCAGTAATTTTTATCAATTTCAAATGCCATTCTAATTAGATTTATCTTTGATTTCCACACTTGCCAATCACAAATTCTCTCTTTTTAAATACACAAGTATATTATAAATAACTTTCCATTGTAATAATGTAAATATAGTCGAATGGGGGAATAAAGCTAAAGGAAAGTCTATTTGAATTCTTTTCCCCAATTGATTGCAAACCAATCAATGTGATACATTTAAATTTCTAAGGTCCTTTTTCATTTGTTCTTTTAAATGATAGTCAATTATCAATGTTCAATTAATTAACCAAAAGATTTACTGGACATAATACCATCCTTCAAAACAGTTTGAATTCACTATTTTTATTTCATTTTAGTGACATAACAAATTTTAACAAAGTTTAATCTTTTAAAATGGATATATTTTCAAATGCTGGTGAAAGAACTGAAATCTTCATTTTGTACATGTCACCAAATGGTACATACATGTAGTTGTGAACCTCTCCTTTGATGGTAAAATAATAAAAAAAGTAGGAAATATTTCTCAACAATCCTCATTCATTTTCAAGTGAAGAAGTTAGAAACACACATAATATGACAGACACCAATTACAGATTCAAACTTTAAGGTAGATTTTACATTTATCTTTCTTCTCCATTGGTTCAACAAATTCAGGCTGTCACTTTGCTGACTTGAACTTCCACAAGAAATCTATCTCTTACTTACTTCAGCGCATTATAGCAAGGCCGGTACCACCCAAGAAACGACAAAGGGACATTTGCAACTAAGTAGAGTAAGGATAGTCCAAATGTCTCCCCCTCGTGTATCGGCTCATCATTGTCGACAAGCAAGGCAAAGGCAGAGAGGAAGTTAAAAAACATTGTAAAACTGTACACTGAAAGACAAACAAAGCAGAGACCCCGACATTACACACATACACCTTTAACTAGTTTTAGTTTCAAAACTACCATTAAAATGCTAACAGTAAATGTACAGGTAAATATTAATTTTTGACTTGCTACAGTACTATCGTAAGTACAGTGTTATTGTATTTAATAGTGATTTGAACTTGTATAGTAGCATACAACTAGATAATACATGTAATATTAACATATCATTATTTTGTAAATAAGGAAATACCTAATTAATGTTGTGGTCATGAGTTTTAAGAAGGCAGGAATTAAATTTCAATAAACTAACCAATAAGCATTTATAGAGGATAGAGCGATCATCCTGTTGTCATACAGATGAACTGTTCTCAAGAGAGAATGAAATATTTGTCTTGTAGCCGTGTAAAATTATATATTAAAGATCACTTTAAAAACTATTGGTAAAAAGCAACATATTCAGAAATTTAAGGTATCATGTAGTAATTGCAGTTATGTCCAAAATGATGTACATGTAATCATGTTAAGAAAAATTGACTGAATTCTCACGCTATTGTCTTTAATAACTAGAAACGTCTTACCTTGCCACCTGTAGAACAGTGCTTTACATGTCTTCTGATAGTCGATAGGAATATCAATGCTGATATCATGGAAGAAACATGGCTTGCAGGGACATTTTTTAGGCAGAGGTGGAAAATTGTTTTCTCTATAGCCTGCAATACAAACAATAGAAAATAAATGACAGGGTTATAAAATAAGAATAGCTATATCTTTAAAGGATTTCAAGAAAAAATTCTATAGACATCTCATGCAGCAACAACCGTTTTTGGATCACAGAAATAAGCAACACAATAAAACCTGATTTGTGAAGAACACTGTCCTAACATTCAAATTACAGACATCAGAGTTTGTAGGCCAATACTGAACATCATTAGTAAGCCATATTCTTGGAATCAAACCAGTCTTTTTTGACTGAAAGTGACGTTGAAAATAAAAACCCTACCTCCAAACTGCATTCGTTGTAACTCTTGTTCTTTTCTTTGCAGCTCTGCTGCTTTGCGTTCTAAATCCTGTAACATAATAATAATATCATATTTAACTTCATTGAGTATTTTATTTGTTGAACTTACAGATAAAATATTTTCCTACACAGTTATCACAAATTCACTTTCCTATTACCCACGTTATTATCTGGATTCTTGAAATAGTTATGCATGGTATGCAGTACAATGTATACTTTTTTGCTAGCCTCAAGCTACAGTACAAAGCTATTAAATGTGGTGAGGACGTGTTTTAATTCAAGTATTTTTAGTTAAAGCTCAGGACTGATTTATACCATGTCCCAAAGAGCTACCATGGAAACAAAGTTTAAACCCAACACATGAACTACAGATCGTTTGAACCCAGTGGATGCATAAAGTAAATGTAAGATACAACTTCGATTAAAAAATGTTGACAAAAGTATTTGTATGTGTATGTATACATGTACATGTAAGAATGTTCTTTTACACACAGCTGTACACTAGTTATTAGTTACAAATTTGGCATAGATTAATCATTATACATGTATACTACTTGATTATATAAGTATAGTTGTCACCTACCTACTTGACAATGTTTTCATTCTTGTACAAATAAATTTTACACTAATTTAATTACCTTAGGTTACAGTACGTATTCATTGTACATTTGCTGCCAGTACAGAAGCAACAACATACCTCTTGTCGCCTTCTTAGATTTTCTTGCTCCTCTTCGATCTAAGATTTTAATAGCAGGAAATTAAAAAAGTCTGATATTTAAGTTCTCATAATTGATATACATACAAGTACACATTTGTCCACATTTTTATAAATCAACGATCTCCACAAGAATCTTGTACACAAGTTGCTGCCTACATGAATTCTCCAATATCAGCTTGAACTTCAATTTAGTACAACAACAGTTTTACTACAATGCTTAATTACAGACTTACTCTTACATAAAATTGCACTTCTCACTCTAAACTACTAGTACCATGACAAGGTATTAAAGCAAAGGCCATACCCCATAGTGTATTGAAAACTCTACAGGATTAGTTTGAAAATCAAGCAACTTTACACAACAATGTGCATACCACATAAGGTGGAGGTTCCTCTTTAGTTTGAAGCACAGCTGGCTGTGAGGTCGAGGGGGGAGGCTGTTTAGGGGCAGGAGGAGGGGCAGCGGCCGTTGTCGCCTTTGGCTAGAAAACATCATAAAACAAACATTAATATACTGCAGAAAAAACCCTTATGTTGACACTGTAAAACTGTGACTAATGTGAGCCTTATGCTTGCTACATTTCCCTCATGTTCTCAAAATTAACTTAATTTAAGACCATACACTGTACATGGACATAAATGCCTTCTTTGTTTGATAAATATTACAATATGACACATATAACACAAATATACTGTACAATTATTGTAAGGTGTTTATTCTCAATTGGAGCATCAAGGAGAAAACATGTTGCGTGATTTACCATCACTTTCCAACAAGCAGCAAGTCTGTTAATAATTACTGACAAGCATTGCAATGTTAAATATTAATTTAATATAGAGCATGGCAGGTACCAATCTGATCCTGCATGCATTTGCACAGAACTGCGACCACATTCAAGGGAAAATAACTCTAAATCATATAATCCAAAGAGTTTTGTTCAAGGATTGTGGCGTTTCAGAGGGAAATAAGGGCTTTATGTAAGAAAGGATAAATCAAGGTCAGTAAATGGCGAGAATTCGTTGCCACAACAGGTGTACATAATAGAAAAATCAATATGTTTCCTTCCAAAGGTGATAGCAGTGTGTAATAGTAAAGTTTATATTATTCCATTATACCAACCATACACTGGTGTGCGTTAATGAAAAATCTCTGCGTTACATGTACAAAAATTAATGACTCAACGTCTGAAATAATTATATGGTCATGTGTGAGTTTATTTTTATACGCTGACGTCGAAATTAACAAAAAAATTATCGTCTCATCGTTCAGTTGCTATAAACCATGGACGCTGAGAAAAATTAACAAATGTGAGATCTGAAATCAGAACTGATAAATCTAAATGAAGGGGTAAAAAAAATCAAATGAAGGTGTTCACAATTTTCCAAACGAACCAAACGACTAAAGCAGTAAAAATATAAATTCTTGGTAGCAAAATGTTATTAGCAAACAGTATCGCATCAAAGTGATCCCACAAGTTCGCAAATATGTTGGCTAAGTCGCAAAGTTTACGGTAAAATGAAAGAATTAAAATGTAGAAAATTCGACTGACCAATATTTCTGACTATATTGAATCGTTCGTCTTGTGAACGTTGAAAACGAAAGGGAACATTACGCACAATATGTTTACATACATTTCTCTTATACATCCTGGGCTAATCATAATGAGCAGTTTAATATCCACAGAAAGTGGGATAGTTTTATACAACTATAAGCTTAGAACCTCTCGACAATATTGCAATGCTTAGGTCGAGAATCAACACGAAAGGTACATGTATAAACCATACACAGCAAAACGAGACGTAAGCTCTAAGGAAATGACCAACCTTTGAGCCGCTAGCTTGAGATTTGTTTTGGTCCTCAAAAGGATTGAAATCTTCAAGCCCTCGAGCTGCATTATTCGTAACAGAAGCCACTGAGGGATCCTGAAAATACAAGATATTCCCAATATCATTAAAATCTTGATTAAAATGACCTGCTTCCCGGAATTGAACATCTCCGGCGACAACAGACCGTATGATCTCAGGCGCAACAGCGACTAATTCACGCTTCAAATACTTACAGCAAAGGGATTTTCTGAATCCCCAGCGAATGGATTATCATCAAAATTTGCCATGTTTAAGCTTCCCTTCTATCAAGGGAGCAAAACGGGGTTTTCTGCCTCGAATCCAAGAAGATCGATGTAAAGTTCTGACCGCCGAAGATTTTCAATTTTGCGCATGTGTATACGTGGTAAACTGTCATGTGACTTGAACGCGATGACGTAATCTCAACACTTTGTTGCTAAAAATGGAACAGGACCGCAACCTCCAAGTGTTTGACCTCCGTCGGCCGTCAGGCTCCTTCACAACTTTGAAGTCGAGATATACGGAAAAATACAGATCAAGGGGTTTACCTGTTTTGCCCGAAGCGGTTTGGAACCAGAAACATTCTGGTCCCCAAAGCACTTTTCACTTCTCTTAGCCGGCGGTGCCTTGGGCGAGAAATTGTTGGGAGAGGCCTGGGACGCAACAGGCGCTGCTTTTCTTGCGGGACAAATCGGGTAATCCCGAGCGGTCAAGAAAGCACCATCTTGCCGACTCGGGTAGCCAATCACGCTGCAGGATTCGCTTCATCAGCCAGCCTGTCCCGTTGGGGATTCTCTGCATTGTGGTACTCTTAGCCCGTGCACATCCACCCCCTCTCCTCAGAAAAAAAATCGGACTTTTTTTTCTAGGGGAGGGGGCCGAATGCACAAAGGGAGCACGGATGTGATTTGGCGCTGACCGCGCCCATCGTTAGGTAAGTAGATAAATAGTTTCATTTTAATTGAACAAGATCAACAAAATTGTTTGTAAGTCATTTTTGACTGTCGGCAAATGGAAAGGAACATGCAACAAATCGTAATGGTGTGAAGTTCGAATTGTAATCGATCCAAACCTGTTTCAACGTTTCCAAAAGGAGACATGTCTTTTATTATCCAACTTATTCATCTCGTCTTTGACCCAATATAGTAAATGACATTCCTACCGGCGTTATTTTGCCAAAGTAAATTTGATTCCGATACTTTTTATTTATGGGGAGATCAAACAAGCTCCCGAAAACAGACACTACACAAGATCGTTTAAGCTTTGCGAGTTTAATCACAGAGTACTTTGCCATTCATTTGGAAAAGCTACAATACAAATAAACAGTTTAAAACTGTTAAATTAACAAATGTCACAGAAAAGTAATACAACTTTTTGAAAGCTATATTTAGCTAAAAAAATACTATGAAGAAAAAATTCCGCCTATTCTGGTACGTCGTACATTTTCGTTTAACGCTACCTCTCATTACAAAACTATATACATCTATCTATATGATAACTGTTGTAATATAACTTCCACGTACTATTAAACAATTAGATTATGAGCTCGCAGCTCGAGTCAACTATGACGCATAGAAATCGAGGGAGAATAACCTAATCTACCACTCGTTCAAAACTTTATCTAAATCCTCTTCACAGACACTTCGAAAACGCTCAGAAGCGGCTGTCATTTTGTTAACAAGGGCACACTGCTACGTTACTCACTATCTATTTAAACAATAGAGTGTTTCTGTCGAGGAACTATCGGCTGATAGTTGCCCCGCGGAANGTCTTTCCCTTTTAACTGTACCTATAGATGTGATCCCCTCATCCCTTAAAAGACTGCAGCCCTAGGACAGACGGCAAAGTGTCTTGCTCAGGAACACAATTTGTAATAAATCCCAGCCAGGATGTGAATCTGGACCCCTTGATCTGGAGTCCGGCACATTAACCATTAGACCACTGCCCCTCTTACAAGTGAGGACAA